AAAAACATAAATTAATTATTCCAAGTTATGTTATAGGCAATATTGGCAATCAAATTATAGATATAAATTATATCATATTAATTTAAATTTCGAACCAAAAAGGAAATATTTTGGCATTTAAAAATTTAGTGCATATTGGATATATGAAATTGACATTCATATTTTTAAATTAAATGCAGAAGTAAAAAATCTGATATTTATATAAAAATTATATATTTAGATAATGGTGCTGCGATGATTCAGACTAAAATCTAATTTATTCATTGATTAAAAATATTTCACTATTTGACATAAATAAAATTAAAATAAACAAAGCACTATGATGCGTTCGAATTAATTATCAAAATGTAAAGAAATTCGTGTAATAAAAATATAACATTATTATTAATATATCATGTATATTATAAGAACTTCTGCAATGCGGAAAAATATTTTTGATGGCAAAACAGCGTTTGCCGGGTCAGCTAGTATATATATATATATATATATCTTATATAAAAAATTCTTCTGTACGGGTGAATGATTTGATACATCTCCTACACGGTTATTCGGATTTTGATAAATCTTTCTGAAGTTTGTTAAGAGAAATTTTTAAGATTTAATGAACGATTAAATTATAGTAATATTGTGGAAATAAATGTCTGAAATTACAAATTAAAAACCACTTATTATTGTTTGACATTGAAACATTTCAAACTGTCATTTGCTAGAAATGTCGATTCACTTGAAATTTGAATTTAGGTGAAATTATGAGCCTGGATGATATTAGAATATTATATGCCGAAAAATGTAATGTCTACATTATTATTGCCGAAAAGCACCGAGATGTGCCAGTAATTAAAAAATATAAGATACAGTCCACAGTATATATGTTTGGCAGATGAAATTATATAATTCAGTATTATATTTTTGTTTTTTCTGAATTTCTTATACTGCTTATTCTAGACCATAAATGAAAAAGCAAGATATCAAATAGGATATAAAAAGTATAGGTCAGGATTTTTGAATTTTGGAATTATTTGGAAAAAATTGGAATTTTTGAATTGTAGACGTGAGTACAGGACGACGTCTGTCGGGTCATCTAGTATATATATATATATATATATATATTATATGTATATATACAAGTGTCGATTTGCACTCACCATATAAGACAGGTTTTATATCATATCTTGGAAATTACGGATAAATCGTATTTCCATCCAAACAAGTATTAGTTTTTGCTATTTCGTTGCATATTTCTCTAAATACAAATATATATATATATATATATATATATATATACAAATATATCGATATATCGATGTATCAATACGTTTATACATGTAATGGTTTCTAATAAATATCGATTTCAAGATCATCCTCACCAGTCAATTTAGATTTAAGTGTCAGAGCAACAATTGTGATTATTTAATAAATAAATAATTATTTATTAGATTATTTGTTTATTTAAAAGTGTGTAAAGTGTTGAGTGATAATTAGTAAATAAATATAAAGTGAGTTTTATTATTAATAACTATTAATTGTTGTAACATAAAAAATTGTTTAGGTAACAAATTTGCATTCTTAACAAATTATTATATGAACTCTGAGTCAAAATTTCAACAATGAACAATATGTTCTGAATGCTGTTAAATAATGTTAAAAAAAATTCAAAAATAGTTCAAATTCTAATTTGAATTTTGGATATATACATATATACATTTTATTTTATTATTATACCAATATTTTAATATATCATTAACTAAATCGATTTTTTAATATATATCGACAAAAGTGCAATTGATGAGATTTTTATCTTACATGATCATATTGTTATGTTTATTCTTTAATATTTAATTTATTTTTATTAACTCATAATTTATATTGTTCGTTACATTGACATTTTGAATTATCGATATATTATTAATTTGTTATTTCGAATTTTTAGATTACAATAACGATTGCATTTGTATTTTCACTATTATATCAAAATTTATTATTTATCGGTATACGTACATGTAAATATTTTAATAATTGGCATTTTAAATATTTTTATTATTTATTTTTTTGGTATTTTATTTTATATTAAATATTTTGAAAATGTAAACAAATAATATAAAAATCCAAAACTCAATATAATACTTAATTATTTGTTAATATCTTGTAATTATTTCATGAATATTGTATAAATGTTATTTTAAAAATTAAATAGTTAATAAATCAATTAACAGTGTTAAAATCGAAAACTCAATATGTCGATAATTTATTTGTAAATTATGTTATGAATAATATCCAAATTTTACTCTAAAAATTTATTGATTATTAAATTTTTTAATAAGTTTCAAGATTTTTTTTAACAAAGTCACAAAGCAAATTTTTCAATGTAAACTAAACGATCTGAATAATTTCTTTTTAAATAATTATAAATAATTACGGATGTAAAAAACGTAACAAAAATTCAATGAATTTCATTGAATAACGAAAGCGAATCGTTTAGCCTTGTCAATTTAAATAATAATAACTATAATTTATATATATGTATATATATATATATATATATATATAATATATATAAACTATGCAATTATCTTCCAAAACGGCTTAACCGATTTCTATGAAATTTTACAATCATTTTCAATATGACTGAGAATAGGACAATATCAATTCTTCATACTCCTAACTGATAAGGGTTAACTTTTAAGATTTTTTTTATTTTTTTGGAATAGTTATTATAATCTGTTTTTTATAATTCGTAACTAAGGAACACATGCAGCCCTAAATTTGCACCCTCCTACTACAAACCCCTTTTTCGTAAAAGCCATTTTAGCAATCGAATTAATTTTTCATCCGGTGTGCAGTCGATGAATGTTTTTGACTTAATTTTGGTTAAGATTTTTTGGAGTTTAAATTTTACTTTAAAAAAATCATTTTTACCAAGAATTGTCTAACCTTAATTCTTTTGCTAAATTTTGGGGTCAATTTTCTTTATTAACATCTCGTAGGGCAAGTTATTATAATCGTCCAAAAATCGAAATTGAAGATTTTTGCGTATCTTCAAGTTTTGAAGGTTTCTAAACATTTTGGCATACCTTACAAAAAATGTATGTGTGTGTGTGTGCATGTATGTATTGATACAATTTCTTGTCCACGTTTTCGGGCGCACGGATCAATCGATTTGGATGGTTCAAAAAGCAATCAATTCCTATAATAAAAATAACTAGTGGTGTATGGCACCGTGCTTTAAAGCAAATTGCTGGAACTTCCCGCAGCCTAACGAAATGTTCGATATATATATAATTTTGAATGTCAATGTAACGAACAATATAAATTATTAGGAATATTAAATGTTCTCAAATAGATTATTATAAATAATGTTACATTGTCTAATATTTATTTATAAGAATTATATAAAATGAATTACAAAGTATATAAGAGAGCTTTAGAACTTCAGCCAGAATTAAAATAAAAATTTTGAATTATTTTCGATATTCAAAAAAAATTTTTGAAAACAAAAATTTGACGATAAAAAATTTGAAACAAATTTTTTTTCCAAAAGCAATTAATTTGTCAAAACAAGCAGAAAGTTTCTTGAGTCATTCAAATCGGATGCTTAGTTTTTTCAAAAACTGCCATTTATTTTACATTTAGCTCCGTATCTTCGAAACGGCTGGACCTGCCGTTGCCAAAAACTAATCACCTCTTCTCCTAATCATTACAAATTGAACGCTTTTTAGATAATTCAAATCGGATGCTCCGTTCTCTCAAAAACTAGATTTCTATTTTCTGCACTCTTTGCTCTATCTCCGTAACGGCTGGACCTGCCTTTGCCAAAAACTAATCAGCACATCTCCCTCAAATATCAATAAGGATCGAATGTTTTTTGAACCATTCAAATCTGTGCGCCCGAAATCGCGGACGAAAAAATGCGGACATACATATATACACACACACATCCATTTTTTCTGAGGTATGCCAAAATGTTCAGAAACCTTCAAAACGTCGAGAAATGCAAAAATTTTCATTTTCTATATTCGGCCCATTACTATAACTACCCTACGGGAAGTTAATAAAAACAAAATATAACTAGTAGGGCGCATAGTATCGTGCCTTAAGGCAAATTGCTGGAACTTCCCGTACCAAAAACTATTGTTTTTTTAAAAGATTGAAAAAAATTTACTCTAAAAAATTAGATTTTTGAGAAACTATAATTTTTGACAAAAATTTTTCTTTTTTTGAAAAAAAAAAGACTTTTTGAAGGAAAATGTATTTTGAAATATTTTGGAAATTCTGAACTTTTTTTCAAAGCAATCGTATTGCTTTAACTGCATAGAGTCAAAATATCGAAGCGCGTAAGCGCTGCGTCGCCGTCTAACGGATAAACATTGATACGGAACCCATAGGAATGTAAACAAAATTTATACTTATTGTTAAAATGTCTATAAAATATCTGATAATTTGATGTGCATATGTCTAATGATCATTTTTGACCGCCAGATGGCATTTTTTTTTACTTTTTTTACTAGATTCCCGAAACCGCTAGATCTGGCTTCATGAAATTGGATCAGTTCTTCCAAGTTAAAAAAGTCCAATTTTTTCAAAGTTTTTTTTATTAATTTAGTTTTCGGTACGGAAAGTTCAAGCAATTTGCCTTAAGGTACGATGCAATGCACCACTAAAAATTGTCTATAAATATTTGTCATGCTGGACAACGTTTGCCGGGCCAGCTAGTATATATATATATATATATATATATATATATATATATATAATTTGTTATTATAAATCTCTATCCAATTATAATATTTAAATCCAAATCGCCTCATTAATTAATATATGTGATTCCCTTCTACTTCTTCAGCTCGATCGACGTCCACGACAATAAAAAAACAACTCGTCGTTCGTTCAAAAAAAAAGTACAGATCGTCACCGTGTCGCCTGTTTGCGAGAAGAAGAACCAGTTTTTCGATTTTAGCAAAACTAAATATTTATCAAAGCATCAATAAATAAATAAACGAGAGACTATAAATATAAATATATAAAAGTGCAGCGTGACAAACTTATTGTGTCTCTAACAAAAACAATGGCAACGAGGCGAGAGTTCAAGGTTCTGGCGATTGCTGCCATTTTAGCAGGTGAGATGATAATTAATCAATTAATTGATAAAAACAATTAGCATGTTAATAAGTAGTTAGTATTGTATTTAGTTTAGTATTGTATGATAACATCTTCACAATACTAAAATGCAAGAACGGGATTGTAATCGGTGCCTAAAATCATTTCTGTGGTGGTCTTACCATAGACCCTTATATTATATTACATGGTCTGCTAGTCGATCGCAAAAATAAGTGTTCAAACATAGAAAAGGGACTGTGTGACGTCACATGTCTGAGCGAATATTGCCGACGACAATCGCGGAATCTCCCGATTGATTAAATGTCATATGTCATATATTTTATTGAAGTAAATCTTCTTTAGTCGCGACTAGGGTGTAAATCCGTACAAATGCAACGGAAGTGCATTTGTACGGGCAGATAAGATAAAATAAGAGTCGAGTGCCAAAGATTCGTCATTCGCTCTCGATGAGATCATTTCTACGCGGGTCAATTGTGATTAATCGTCGTGTATGTGAATAGAGATCTGTCGTTGTATGCGTACCGGCATCAACGTTGTATGCGTACCGATATCAACAAGGAAATCGGCATAAATAAATAAACATTTTAAAGTTACATCGTAGTACAAATGTTGATTTAATAAAAAATGCCTGAATCAGAACCATATTTTATCTATATAATAAAACAAATTAAACATTTGTGCCGTGTACTAAACGTAAGTTTATTGACTAGAAATTATTTCTATATTATTAGTAGTTTCTATAAATCTTTGAAGTTATTAAAATGGGAAGTATTTCTTAGGCAAAACAGATATTATAGCTGTTCAAAGAATGAGATTATATCACCGGCGAAAAAGTAAAAAAAATACCATCAGTCAATGAATGTATGTTAATTTCAATTACATGAAGTTCCTCAAACACAATTATTACATGAAGTGAAGTGAAGTTGCAAAAACAATATTTGTTCAGGCGTTTTTTAACATAAATCCACTGTGTGAACGAATATTATAGAATTTATTAATCAGCAATTACTTCATTTCTCTAATGAAGGTTCAAGTCCTAAATGCTAATTACAATGACAAACCGATCATGTCGTATTTGAAGTATGACTTTAACTACATTATTATTTTAAAATATTATACATAATTTTAATGCTATTATAAATATATAATTTTTTATAATTTATCATTATATAAATGTGTATAATGGTTGACGCTAATAAATATGTGCATCACGAGTGTTACCATATTACTAATAAACATTATTCAAAAGTGTTATATGATGTATTTATCTTTAACTTAAATTAAACTTTAACTTAATTAAATACCATCTTGCACAGTAGCAAAAAAGTTTTACTTCAATCGCGTGTGAACCTTACGTGCACTCTTTTTTTTATTACTATAATGGCAATTGTGATAGCTGATAATTGTGTAAGAAATGATATTGATAATATTTTCTGTGAAATAAATGTGAAATAAATGTGCATAAAACCTGTGAAATAAATGTGCATAAAATTGAATCCACCTGTTAAAATCGGTTTATATATTATAAGACCTATCTTAGACATGCGACATTTGATCAATCGGGAGAGTCCGCGATTGTCGTCGGCAACGTTCGCTCAGACATGTGACGTGACATACCCATCTATGTTTGAGCACCGTTTACAAAGAAAAACTTATAAGGACTGGCAGTCTATGTAGTGTAATGCCTATGGGTGTTGCACATTTGTTTAAAACTTAAGGGCCAATTCTTAAAAAAATAATAAAAGTCTTATGGTAATGTTATTTTACGGGTCTATATTCGTATTAGTTGGAAGTATCAAATAGCCAAAAAACTATGTATTGCAAACTTGCATCAGGCGTTTTACACATATAACCTTAAGGATTTTTGGACCTCCCCCCCTTAGTGACACATAGTAATAATCAAAATTACCCCCCTCCCCAACATTAGTATATTTTTAGTTACGTGATAAAACTGTAAAATTTTTGAATTTTTTTTGATGTTTGTTCTTTTTTTAAAAAATCAGTTAAAAAATAAATACAAGTGATATCTTACTTTACCCCTCCCTCACCAGAGTGATATTTCGTGATTTTTTGTCAAACTTCACGCATATGTCATCAATAGGACATCAAAAAGTTGCACTTGTGATAAAATTGTTATCTGACTTTTGCGCGTTTTGTAGGTTACATTTATGTACCAAACACCAAATTCATACGGCCAATTCATACGAAGATAGCCCCCTAACATAGCATTATAATATTATTGTTCCAAAATCGAAATTGAATATATTTGCATACTTTTACGTTTCAAGAGTTTCTGAACATTTTGGCAAAGCTTAGAAAAAATAAATGTGTGTGTGTATGTATGGATACAATTTTGTCCACATTTTTGAGCGCATGGATCACCAGATTTGAGTGGTTCAAAAAACATTCGATTCATATTGATAGGGAGATGTGCTCTTAGTTTTTCGCAAAGGCAGGTCCTGCGCTTACGGAGATAAAGAGTAAAGAGTGCAGAAAATAAAAATCGAGTTTTTGAGAGAACGGAGCATCCGATTTGAATGATCCAAAAAAACATTCAATTCGTAATGACGGGTAGAAGTGGTGATTACTTTTTGGTAAAGGCAGGTCCAGCCGTTTTGGAGATACGGAGCTGAATGTACAAAAAATGGCAGTTTTTGAGAGAACTAAGCATCCGATTTGAATGATTCTAAAAACTTTCTGCTTGTTATAACAAAATAATTGCTTTTCGGAAAAAAAAATTGTATATTGAAAATATTCAGATTTTAATTTTAATTCTTGCTATAGTTCTAAAGCTCACTTATATACTTTAAACAAATAATTTTATCTTTGCAATTCAGTTTATATAATTCTTATAAATATTAGACAATATTACAATATTGATAATAATCTGTTTGAAAACATTTAATATTCCTCGAACATTTCGTTACGGTACGGGAAGTTCCAGCAATTTGCGTTAAGGCACGATGTTTGCATATCTTTATTTAATCTTTTATCTAGCATGTCGTACGTGTCAATGCACTTGAATCGTTTATTTATGCAAATATCTAAGATGCAAATGCATCGATATTATTAAACAAATTGAATTTATAGCGATTGTAAATGCAGATAGTAAAATAACCGCATGTATTGATATTTGTTTATTTATTTATTTATTTAAATAATTCTTTGAACGCGGTACGAATAGTCCCATTGGAAATTCCTCGATGACGAATCGATGAATAGAATTTCCCGAGAAATTTAAACGCTAATTCTAAAGTAAACAATTTTATTGCACTTGATGGATAAATAATTCGTTCTAATTAAATTTAAATGGATTTATAAAATATGCAAAGAATAAAAATTACTAATGTTTAATATTATGTACATAAATAGTTTTTCTTGTTCGGCATTGACAGTTTATTATTATTAATCATGGTATTAATTCAATGGTTAATATGTCGATTTGAAAGATTTGAACTAGTGGTATGGCATTGCGCCTTAAGGCAAATTGCTGGATCTTTCCGTACCGTGATCGAAAATCTTGGTACGGAACCCAAAAAAATTACACAAAATGATAATATCTGATAATTTGATGTACATATGTCCAATGAACATTTTTGACCGCCAAATGACATTTTTTTAAATATTTTTATTGAGAGTCCATAACCGCTGGACCTGCCTTCATCTTGTCAATACAAATAAAATGTTTTTTGAATTATTTAAATCGGACGCTCTGTTCTCTTAAAAACTGATTTACCGTTTTTGGCACTTTTTGCCCCGTATCTCCGGAACGGCTAGACCTGCCTTCGCCATAAACTAATCAGCACAACTCCTTATCAATGCGAATCGAATGTTTTTCGAAATATTCAAATCGGTTGATCCGTGTTCCCGAAGTCGTCGACGACAATTTGTATCCGCACACCACACACTCACACACATACATACACACATACACACACATACAAACACACATTCATTTTGGATTTTTTTTGCGACTATAACTTGACTGAATCACATAGTCAAAAATATTCATTCAAAGTATATAAGTGAGCTTTAAAACTTTAGCCCGAATTAAATTCGAAATCTAAAATATTTTCGATAGACGAAAAAAATGAAATGAATTTTTTTTCCAAAAGCAATTGTTTGTCAACACAAGCAGAAAGTTCTTTGAATCATTTAAATCGGACGCTTAGTTCTCTCAAAAACCGCAATCTCTTTAACATTTAGCTCTGTATCTTCGAAATGGCTGGGCCTACCTTTGCCAAAAACTAAAACACCTCCCATCATTACTTATTGAATGTTTTTTAAATCATTCAAAGCCGATACTCCGTTCTCTCAAAACTCGATTTCTATTTTCTGCACTCTTTGTTCTTAATCTCCGTAACGACTGGACCAGTCTTTGTCAAAAACTAATCCGCACAATAGGAATCGAATGTTTTTTGAATCATTCAAATCGGTTGATCCGTGCGCCCGAAAACGTGGACGAAAAAATGCGGACATACAAAACGCACACACACACATCCATTTAGTTCTGAGGTATGCCCTTTAAAAATGTTCAGAAACCTTCAAGACGTCGAGAAATGCAAAAATTTTCATTTTTGATTTTCGGCCCATTACTATAACTACCCTAAGGAAAGATAAAAATGTACCGAATTTTATCTTTGTTCACTTCTATTTTGAACACCCTGTAACTCACAACTGAATGCACCAAACGAAACAGCAAAAAAAAAATTATACTGCGAAATGTCACCTTTCCAACGAGCATAAATCTGAAATTGTTTGATCGAGTTTGATACTTTACGAGAAATCTATCAGTACCAAAAAAATAATTGATTTCTTTTTCCCCAAAAAATATATGTTTTGAAAAAGACAATAAAACTTACTTGTTTTCAATTTCCAGTGTTATCTTCCACAAGTGCATCTTCCTCACCAGTACAAATATCACGCCAAAAACGCCAACTATTCTTCCCCGGTCCTGTCAACTTCAACACACCGCCCCCAAGACCCCCAAGACAGAACCAGAACTTCCGGAGACCTGGACAACAAAATTTCAATACAAATCAGAACTTTCAACAAGGTTTCAACAATCCTAATTTCAATAATCAGCCTAGGCCTGGTCAAGTAAATTTCAACCCGAGCGGTGGAAATTTTAATCAGAATCAAAGACCAGGTGGTGGAAATTTTAATCAAAACCAAAGACCAGGAAGTGGAAATTTTAATCAGAATCAAAGACCAGGTGGTGGAAATTTAATCAAAACCAAAGACCAGGAAGTGGAAATTTAATCAGAATCAAAGACCAGGAAGTGGAAATTTCAATCAGAACCAAGGCTCTGGTTTAATCAGTTCCAAAGACCTAGTGGTGGTGGATTTAATCAAAATCAGAGACCAGGAGGTAATTTTAATCAGAACCAGAGACCTGGATCTAACCAAAATCTATTTGGTGAGTATAAAACTAATATCAAACAATAATTTAAGGCCCGGTGAACACGAGGCCAGTATTTCTTGTAACAGGATTCTGTCAAGTTTTCTGGTAAGGTGAGCAAAGAAAAAAAAGGATTATATTCAAAAAATTACCCAGGATGAGCACAGTCTAAGCGCACTCTGGTACATTTGTTTACCCGAGTGCGTTTAGACTATTTATGCACTGGAGCACTTTTCGATTTCGAATTTTGTGAAAACTATTAAAAAATGTGAAAATGCCGCCAGCTAAGCACAGTTAAGTGAAAATGTCGCCAGAATTATTTGCAAATGAGTTTAGACTGTGACTATACGGGAGCACTTTTTCAATTTTGTGTAACATTTAGGCAACTATTTTTTTGAAATTGAATTCGAAATGAAATGACGATTGTTAATAAATGATAGGAGATAAATTGATTTATGACTTATCATTTGATTTGCTCAGATATAATAAGATAGCAAAATAATGAACGTTACAGTATTCGTAATAATATATCTGTAAACGTTTAAATTTTCTCGAATATTTAATTACGGTACGGAAAGTTCCAGAAATTTGCCTTAAGGCATGCCATATACCACTAGTTTTATGATTAATAATTATTTTGTGGATTTTCAAATAAATTTTTATAAGTATATACTGTGAATTTCACAATTTATATTTTTTAAGCCTAAAATGCACTAATGCTTATAAGTGTACAAACAGCATTGTATAAAATGTAAACAATAAACATATATGTATCGTATCCGATTAGGGTGAATCCATAAGATGATTTAATCTCATATTTCCGAAAATTAAACGAATGATAATTATAAAAATAAATCGATAATTTTATAACCGATAATAATAATAAATTGTTTGCCAATTTTAATTTTTTTTTTTAAGTTTTGAATATTTTTGCAAATCTAGAAATTTTTGAAATAAAACGATTTAATTTTTTTTTTTAATTTTGTAATTTTTTGATATCTTACATATAAAAATGAAACGCCTGGACAATTTGTCCAATTCATTTTTTGAAAGGTTCGTTGAGAAAAAATCGAATAATTGGCGGGGAAAACCCTAAAAAACAGCCCTTTTCCTTTTCACATACAAACGTTTTCGAACAATGTAGAATTAATTTGAGCTTTATTGCTATTATATAAAGTTCATTTAATTACAAGTACTCACTGTATACTCCTTCTAAACTATTATTCGGATTTTGATTAATCTTTCTGAAGTTTGTTAAGAAAATTTTCCAAGTTGTGTGTGATTTAAAGTACTGGGAGTACGAGTATATGGAATATTGTCAAAATAAATGGAATAAATTGAAAAAAAAAAACGGCATGTCATTGTTTGCATTGAAAACAAATGAAAACTATCATCTGCCAAAATATTCAATTGCTTATGAACCTAGACAATATTAAATATGTATAATAAATTCATGAATATGAATAAGAAGAATGTAATGTCTACAATATTATTGACAAAAACTAAAAAAAGCAGCTGAAATGGCCAGAAATTGAAATAATTTAAAATAGACAGTATATGTATGGCAGATCGAATGATACACATATGAACAGGATATGACAAATTAATTCACTTAAATTTAAAATTAAGTATTAATCAGGCCGGTCCTATATTTAATGCGATGCAGCGAAAACTACGAGCGCACGTCTTAGGGGGCGCCAACACAGATTCAGATATTAAATTTTCAATATAGTTTTTTTTCAATATATAATTTTTTGCTCTTTTACTAATCTTCCACATTATTTTAAAATTCGAAAAAATTTCACTTTATAACAACAAATGGAAAAGTAGAATGAATACATACAAATCGGCCTTCACGATATCGATTAGGAAAAGTTTAAGATGCAATTTTGA